AGATTTCGTTCGAACTCTCCCCCATGGTCGCTTCTTATGGCTACTATGGTTGTTTCTTTTTCATTTTGAACTTTCTTTAGAAAATTTTTGAAAACATGAAATGCTTCACTTTTATGAGTAAGAAACAAGGTCCATGTAAACCTAGAGTAGTCATCGACAATCACAAACGCAAAGTAATTGCCACCAAAACTTTTCGTTCTAGAAGGACCAAAAAGATCCATGTGCAAAAGTTGAAGCGGTCTAGACGTTGAAACAACGTTCTTAGACTTGAACGAAGCCCGAACTTGCTTCCCCTTTTGACATGCATCACATATGGCGTCTTTTTCAAACTTAAGTTTTGGAATGCCAATTACTAAGTCTTGTGAAACCAATTTGTTCAACAGGTTCATGTTCATATGAGCTACCCTTCGGTGCCATAACCAAGTGTCTTCCTCTTTACTCATGAAGCACTTAGCAAAGTCGGAAGGAGATTTGTCTAAGTTAACCATATAAATGTTATCGATTCTATCACCACGTAGAATGACCTTATCTTCACTAAGGCGTTCTACCGTGCATGATTTTGAATCGAAAGTCACACGGTTTCCCTTGTCACATAATTGGCTTATGCTCAAGAGATTGTGTTTAAGACCTTTAACAAGCAAGACATTATCTATAGAGGAATTTTCAGATTTACCTACTAAACCAACGCCGATAATTTTTCCTTTGCTATTGTCTCCAAAAACTACGTTTCCTCCTTTAGCGGGTTTGATTTGGAGAAACTTGGATGCATCCCTGGTCATGTGCTTGGAGCATCCGCTATCAAGGTACCAAAGTACACTTGATGCCTTCAGGCACACCTATGAAACACATCAATGAGTTTTAGGTACCCAATTTACGTTGGGTCCTCGGGTGTTAGGTATGTGATGGTAGTGTGCTTGATTTTGTGATAGGTGCCTATGCCTAGTGTAACAAACGGGAGCAATATGGCCTATCCTATTACAATAATGGCAAACTACATTGGGGTTGTACATGTGCCTAGGTTCATAATAGTTAGAAGGTTTAACCATTTTGTTCCTATTTTGTGAAAATGATGGTTTTTGGAAATTTTGAAATTGGCCTCTTCTAGGTGCTCTAGCATTATTTCTTCTTATTTGAGAAAATTCATTTTTATGCAAAAAATCATTTTTCTTAAGTTGCCTACCATGACCATTTTCATCTCTAGGTTTTAGTCTAGGTTGTCTAGTGTCCTTCAGTTGACTAGGTTTTCTGTTATCTTCATTTTTAGATTTCTTATGTTGAACCTTAGATGATTGTCTAGGTGGTGGCTCAACATTATCTTTAGCTTTATTTTTATCAAAACCTATTCCTTCCTTAGAAAAATGCATAGTGT